GAAAGGACTGAGAGAGCTTCGGCTATGGGATAGTATAGAAATGAAATAATAATAGTAATGATAGTAATAATAATAATACAGAAGAAGGCCTGGAGTCAAACCTAGCATCTAACCACGGGAGGTGGTTGAGGCCCAATCGGTGAGGGTGTTCAAGGATAGACTAGACATGCGCATGGTGGGCATGTCATGAGTGGAGCCAGGGGTCAGACTAGATGGCCCGAGAGACCCCTTCTGTTTCTATGTTTCTATCTATAGGACTGGGAAAGAATGATGTGTACAGTCCTGGTGAGCTATGTCCAAGCTGTATGCTGCAGACGATATTGGACTAGATAAACTTATAGCTGATTCAGTATAAGATGGCTGATGGTATTTCTCCAAGGTGGCATACATAATTGCCCTCCTTCCAGCATCCATTTATCCTCACAGGTACATACACTGGGGTTGTGCTCCTTAAGACTAAAGTGCCACTGAGCCTTTGGCCAGCATGGGCAATGGTTGGAGCATAGTGCCTGATCTTACCCAACAGAAAGCTTATGTGGAAGTGGAGAAGAGTACTTTCCTTTTGTGGAGATACTGCTCCCCACTGCTTGATAAGGGTGACAATGTACAATAAAACAATAACAAGAATTAAGACACTTGTATAAAGGCTGATTTATTTATTTATTTGGGATATTTCTAACCTGTCTAATCACTCTGCGTTTCTGGACAGCTTACAACAAATCCAATAAATACAACAAAACTGGGAATGCCAAGGCAAAGGCACTGCTAGAGTTCTTAGTACTGCTACTTCTAGGCAGAAGCATCAGCAGTATGCTTGGTTCCTCCTGGGTGCTATGTGCCCAGGATGTCTTATGCAGCCTTCTCGCTTTGGGGGCAAAGTGCCCTTTCTCCCCAGTTTCTCATCAAAGAAATTCTCCCCCTGAGCAAAGCCTGATGTTGGACAGATAAAGCCTCATGCAGCTTTTTCTGCAAAGCTGCATAGTTTATATACAGGGTGTGTGCGTGTGTGTCCTTGTGTGCCTTCATAGGGTAGTGAGGGCTAAACTAGATGCTACATTAAATGCCTAGCGCTTACATGATCCTAATATTTTTATTTTACTCTAAGTATGTAGGGTGACCAAGCCGACCTCCCTCACAGAGTGTTCCACAATCAGGGGACCACCATGGAAAAGGCCTCATTCCGTGTTGCCATTCTCTCAACCTCCCACAGAGGAGGGACCTGAAAGCAGGGCTCAGACTATGATTATAGTGTTAGACCTTCCCATCCAAATTATCCCAGCTGCAGTAAAAGGGGGGAAATGACACCAGTACAGTATAGGGTGTGTGTGTGTGTTTGTGTGCGTGCGTGTTTAACCTATTTCCCACCTGGTAAGTTCTTTTAGAAATGATTAGGTATTGTTTTTGCATACTGTATCTTAAATGTTATTAAATTCATTGTAGTGAGATAAAGATGGAAGTGAGTTGATAAGTGATTTTTGAAGTGTATTTTGTGACAAGACAAATAAATATGTATCATTAGTATATGAGAGAGATGGAGATTCAGCTATTTATGCCATGTTTAAACACAAGATTCACAGTGTTTAATGGTAGGAAGCCTAAAGGATGATCTAGTATGCATCCATGTACACTGGACCTGCTTCTCAAGTTTACCCAGAGAGGGTTGGGCGCAGCATCTCCTAATGCATTCCAAAGTGCTATCCCACCTCCTGCTGACAATAAATCACTAGCTCACAGTTAAGCTTTCTCCTCCACCTACCCCTCTCCCATCTCCCAGCAGGTGGAAAAGATGAGAGGAACTGCAGAGGCGGCCTAGCAACTCCTCTTGGGGAGGGTCCCCCCCCCCCCAGTTGCCAGCTCTTGAGTACAGCCAGCTGCTGCGGTTGCCGACTGACGGGACCTTTTGTGCTCTGAGGTCATCTCTTTAGAGCTCATTGCTCCGGCATCTTCTGGCTTTGCTCCCAAGCTATCGGTATCCTCCGCCACACCCACCATTGGCACTGGGAATGGACACCCCTTGGACCAAAGTGCTTAGCATTGTGGAACTGATCTTGATATCACAGATACATGCCTCTTAGCTCTTGTAGTTGGAGAGATCTTCTGCTGAAGGGCCTTCATTTTCACTGTTAAAAAACAAAGTTACAATTTCTGCTGTGACAATCCTTGATCTTTATTGATTGACTTATTTAAAACTTGTATACCCCATGCTATACATAAAGTCTCAGGATGGTCCGACAACAAAGGCTCAGCAGGGAGCAACACATGTGGAAGTGGTGTATGACTAACAAATAGCAGTGACATAGGGAAAGGCTAGCAGGCCAATAGCACTCTACTTCAGATCCCATGTGCTTTTTCCTCAGGAACACCTGTATTTTTGTCAAGAAAATGAAAAACTCACTATGCATTGGCTGGGTTCAGGCAATACAACAAGTCATGGTGGGTTTTTTAACCATTGTTGGTCTGTTGTGTTATCCAAACCTATTGTGATATCTCACCATGTTACATCTGGACTTTAGAAACCACAGTAAGAAATGATGGTTTGTTCTATGGTTTCTCCCTACCACCATGGCTTGTTGTGTTGTCTGAACCCAGTCACTGACTGGTTTAAAAATCAGTGAAGTTGGCTTATATGCTAAATATACAAGTTCAGAGCATAAATTCCTTTTGTTTTTAAGACAAACACTAAAGGAGAATTAACTATGTGGTGTTGAATTTGAATTGAATTGATCCCCAACATTTTTATTGGTGAGATCACTCAAGCCTCCTGCAGTTACTTACAACAACATGCTACCAGGTAGTGGTCTCCACCACCAACTACAGTCTTTTAGAACAAAGAGTGTTTTATAGATTCTGAGTCACATGGGCCCAGCAACTGGGTAGTTGATGAGGAAATAAGGGGAACATAGTCAGAAGAAGGTGAGAGGTCTACGAGGGGCTCAATACAATGGCATTTGATTGCAGGAGATTAACATAACGATCACTGAGTCACAAGGATTATTGTGAGTCTTTTAGCATGCAAATAGGGTGATTGCAATGCTGTTAACCTGGCAGTCTTATTGGCCCTTGTTGTTGTTGTTAGTCCCGAAGTCCTGCGTGGTGTGTCAGTCCCACCGCAACCCCATGGACAACACTCCTCCAGGCTCCACTCCTCCTCCTATTGGCCCTTACTGATCATCAAAAACAATAGCCCTGGCTGCTTCTAGGCAAGCTATGAACTCCCACTTCTTAAAGTAACAGCAAATGCTAAATGGTAATCTGGCTTGGAATTTTTGGGTGCTTCCTGAGAAAGTGGTGAAGGTGTTTTATAACACAAAGGCACATAAGCAACCCTTTTCTGCCTGGATTTATCTGAATTTTCCCAACAGGTACATGCAGACATTTTAAGAGTAAAACAACTGTGTGTGCTGAGTGAGACTTGACTCTGGACTGCCTTTTGCTGCCTTCACTGATCAGGATTTCTATACTACTTCATGCCAGAAGATGGCAGTAGGCCTTTTCGTTCGTAACATAAGATGCCAAACAGACTCCAAGGGAAATAACACAAGGTAAGTCTCCATCTTGCACTGCCAGCATGAAACCATTGCCATGAAGGATTAAAGTAAAGGAATTTAGGTGTTACTTTTAGCTTTAGCTGTCAGTCCTAGGCTGAAGACATCATCTGAAAGTCACAAAATGTGACTTCCTGGAAACCTGCAGCTGTGATGAAGTGGCAAAATGTGGTCCATTTTGAGTTGACTGCACAAGCCTTCACACCACTACCTCAGCTCATGGCTGTGCACTTACAGTTCTCTCAAACTGACCACATCGAGGCAAAAGGCCACATTCTCAAAAGGTTTGTGTGAAGCACAAAATACTTAAAAGAATGTTAATAGAATCACTACATAGGTCTCTGATGCTTTCCTTAAAGTTTATGATAGCAGATAATAGCCCCATTATTCATAGCATGCCGGAGAAAAGTCTGAAATGGGCATTCTCAAAAGCCAATCAGGAAGCAAATCCTCAGGCCTTGGAAAGAACAGCTTGTGAACTCCTGACCCTAAGGTCCTGTTTCAGTTGGAAATTAGAGGCATGAGAGCCACTCCTTTGATACTTAGAGATTGGAATTCTGCTGCCCTACTCTGGGGCATGGTCCATGAAAAAAATGGGACCCATGCAAGGGGATTTTGGAATACTTCTAGATGGGAAAGATGATGTCATAGTCATTCACCAGACTCGGTCCACACTGCATGGTTTCCACACTTCATGGTTTTTAGTGTGGAGTTCCTGACAATCAGACTCATCATGGGAACTCTTTACCTTCCCAATATACCCTTCCCTCTCAGTCTTCCAGGAGGCATCCGAGGAGGCAGAGTGGGGAGGAATCAGGCTCCTCATCTTGGCAGCTATGAAGGTAAGCTGACTTCTACTTTTAAGCATTCTCTGTTGTGCAAATTGGGCTCAGACTCTGAAGTGTAGCAGCGTATGAAGAAGCTGATGGGGCACCCTCCCCTCCTGCTCCAGAAGCAAGATGGGGGGGTGCAATCCATGCTCAGGCAAAGTGGAGCAAGCTGAGCTATGCTGCAGAAAAGAACTACAACCCCTCTGGCACACCTGAGGGAAGTCCCTCATGCAAGAGAGCCGGAGGGGCAAGAATCCACCAAGCTGCACTACCCAACTGCTCCTATCATCCACACCATTGGCCATGCTGATGGGAACTACACTCCAACAACATTTGGGAGGGGCACATGTTGTCCACCTCTGCTTTACACTGTATCACAGCAAGGTTTTGGCAGGGGGCATGTGCCACCCCATCTTAGTCTTGTGTGCCAAGGAATACAGCCATTGGACACAAGCTTCTTCATTGCTAACAATTTATTATAGAAATTCCATCAACAAGACAATAAAATTAACACACACACCATTGTCACTGTGCTTCATTATTATAATTTTAAAAAATCTACATCGGCCACTGCATTTTCAAATCCATTCATCTGTTTGTGCTTTTTTACCTATGTGATTGGGCTGGCCCTGCTACATTCACAAGAGAAGAGGTTAGGTTGCTTGTACATTAGAGCTAGTATATAAACCTTCGGCTCTGCCAAGATTTGGCTTTTCTGCTTTCAGCCAGAAACAGAATTAATAAAGCTAGAAATACTTTAATATAGTGCTATATTATCCTACAGCATCCTTCCCCAAGGCCAAGAACCTTCTGTAATGTCTGCTTATAATGCCCCATTCAGTAATATTTCAAGCAAATTTCAATTAAAAGAATGTTGCCTTGAAGGTTCAGCTTGATTTATTTCTTCTTTGTGACTACCAGTGAGAGAGTAAAGAGCCTGATCATAACTTCTTGAATAGCTTGTTTCTGAACTGATCAACTCTATTCCTGCAAATGGAGGGGAGTCTTTAATTATGGATTTCCTTTCATTCTTTTACCTTAATGGTAAAACAAGTCTATTTTACTTTTAAAGAGCCCTGTAAATTAATTTTCATGAGTCTAATAAATAACAAAAACCAAGATCTGAGTCATTGAGAAAGGCTGTTCCAGTATTGGGCTATCCATCACTAAGCTCCCCACAATCCGAAATGTTTGTTTAAGGAACAGGAACAGATCCCTTAATAGTGCCCACTGGACAACCTGGTGTTGTGGATGTTTTTTAAATTCCTTAAAAAATCCTATAAATTAGATCTGAAAAGGAATGAGAAAATGTCAGGGAGGTGAGCAACTGGAGGGTTTCTCACTGGCATTGTAATGTCTGGCTCATCACTGTATCACATGACAACCACCCCTCGCAATTATCCACGCACGGTTTCTGCCTCATTTTTCATGGTTTTCTAAGCTACCTTTTTGGAGATGTTTCAGATGCAAAGAACTTCCATATGCTTCAAGGATATATATATTCCATGCTAGCAGCATTATGATTTATAATGCTTTCAGTCTCCTGCTGCCTCCTCATCACCACCCTGTCTTTCTACTCCTCTGCCTTCATTCCCTACTGCTTCCTCTCAGTGATTCAGTGGGGTTTAAGTGCAGGAAAACCCCATACCCAATGCTCAATTTCTTTCTCACTTGCTTTGGCCAGGGGCTGCCTGGAAAAAAAGCCCCCTCTCTGCTCCCATCACCAAGGAAAGAGTAGGAAATGGTAACAAGGAAAAGGAAACCAGGGGAAGAGTGCAGTGGCGAGAGAGGATTTTGCTGGGCGCCACCATGCAAGAGTGTGCAACAACAAAAGGGGGCATTGAGGAGGAATAGGGTTCCCTCAAAAATTGGCATGCCAAAGGCATGAGCAGCAGAGAATGAGGCTGAAATAGCTCAAAGTTAGTCTTCCTAATCACATGCACACCCCGCACCCTTCTTCTCCATGATTTTTATGATTATTTTTATTTTGCCACTACCGTTGTTTGTGCATGTATGGTGGAGATGAACTCTGTATAACACACATTTTAAAACCTACATTGCTATGTGCCTTCACATTTTAAAACCTACATTGCTATGTGTACATGCTTTCAGTGGAATATATATATATATATATATATATATATCTACGAGTGTACACACACGCACTCGTATATGGGAACTCCTCCTACCTCTCCCACAATTGCATCTCTGTGCAATGCTCATGTTATAAACACAGAAGATGCTGCAACAATTCTAGTTTGCAGAAACACCAACATGGTGATGCCTACACACAAACAGAGCTCTAGCATTGATCCTGTCTTGCAAAACATTGGTCTGCAATTATTTGATACTGATATTGACTGGATGTTCCAGAAAAATAAGAAAATATTAATATATGCAACTGCAGAGGTCTGGTGAAAATAAGAATCATATGTGTGGGAATAGGAAGTGGACAAAGGATGCACTTCCAGTGAGAAAGCAACCTTTATCTCCGCTAGAGGTATTCCTGTGAGGTTACTGAAATGGAAGTTGTTCTATTTGGTATCTCTATTACCTGGTCATGCACCAGCCCTCTGGCCAGGGAGGGCATTTCTCTCTACTGAGTGACTAGTTCTGTTCTGCCCTGACCAACAGGCAAAGAGGGAGGTGACACTACTTTACTCAATATTCGGAAATTTCTCCCATAGCTGGTCACACTACTGCTAAATCCTCCCTCCTTGACTTGGGCCTTCCATCTTCCCTTGACCTGTTTGAAGAAGGGAGTGCCTTCCTTCAGGGCTGGAGCCCAGGTTCTGCCTGCCTTGAGTCTTTCTGTGGAGTGGGATTGCTTCCAGGGTTGGGCTGCATTTGTATGGTATGTGTTTTCTCTGAGACAATCAGTTCTGGCTGTATTTGCCCAAGGCGATTACCCTGGGGGCTGCTGCCCGTGTCTGTGTCTGCCTCAGCAGGGCTGCCGAGGCAGGCCTCAGGTTCTTCCACCTTCAGAGAGTCACCCTGGGAGCCCTGTGTCTCTCCACAGGTATCTACTCGCCAAGGCAGAGGTAAGTACTTGTGCACTTCGATGGCGGGACTGCGGCGGTTTGGGTCAATAGCCATTAGGCGGCGGAACATGTCCAAGGCATGAGTGCTGAAGCCTTTCCAGAGGCCCGGAGCCTCCCCTGGCACAGTGCGGTTCTGCCAAATGCCAAATCCCTCATACTGAGGGTCAGGACTCATTGCCACATCCCAAGGGAAGCAACCGGTACAGAGGCAGAAGAGCAGCACCCCAAAGGCCCAGACGTCCAGGCTGGAGTCCAGCGCCAGCGTCTCGGTACCCTCCAGCACACACAGCTCAGGCGGGGAATAGGGCAGGGTGCCAGACATGGCAGCTACTGGGGTGCCTTCCAGGCGAGTCAGGCCAAAGTCCCCTAACTTCACCAGACGACACTCTTTGTCAAAAAGCAACACATTGTCCAGCTTTATGTCTCGGTGCACCAAGGCCTTGCTGTGCATGAAGTCCAGCGCCTCTGCCAGCTGGGCTGCACACCTTTTCACCTGCATCTCGGGAAGGCCGTCCTGCTGCAGAGAAGAGAAGAAGAGGTGTTAAAGAGGACACACACTTAAGGCCCAAACCCTGCAAGAAGCCCTGATGTCAGCTCTGTCCCCGAATCTACTCTGGTAAGACTATTACAGGGCCTAATAACATCACCCATGATATTAGGGGTTCATTCACTTGCTCATCTTCCAGTATGATAGATGCCATCTTCTGTCTGCGATGTCCTTCTGGATTCTACACATGTCAACCAGCCCAGTCCGTACAGAAAAAAATAAATGCACACAAACATCACACCAGAAACGGCACAAACCAGAACCCAGTGGGAGACCACTTCAGTCTCCCAAGGAAAGATAGAATGTGAAGTGACCATTGTGGAAAAGAGATTCTTCAAATCAAGATTAGAGTGAGAGCTTGCTGAGTTCACCAGGCCATTATTAAGTTTTATCCTATCCCCAGAGGCTTGAATCACAATAATTCAATACATTTGTTATCAGCAACTGCTGCACTGTAAGTGACCGCTATTAACATGAGAGTCACCATCAGTACTTTCTGCAGTGAATTTTCTTCTGACTTCACTGATTAGTGTTCTTTCTTCCCCACCCCTCCCTATCTAATCTATTATGGAAACTTTCCATAATACTTCTAAGGTTTTAATGGACTAGTCTAACTACAAGTTCTCTTTCTTTATTCTTCTTTGCGCACTTCTTTATTCTTCTTTGCACTGTACACTCATTGAATGACATGATTACTTTCATTGTAATGATTAAATGATAAATGATTATATTAAATTGATCCTGTGTTGCTCTGTATTATTGTTAATATTTTAATCATTTTTAAATTTCATTTAAATGTGATTTTAATATTAATGTTTTAAGGTGATTGTAATATTTAAATGTAAACTGCTTGGAACTTTTATTTTATATATATATAATATATATTTCTAGCACTATAGAAATATTACAAATAAATGCAAACCTAATACATCACAGTGCTATCTCATTTGTCCTGAAGGCTCTCCCTTGTTTATTGGCCCCACAAAGTCTCAGTCCTGTGTGTGTCCCTGCCATACCTCTGAGTTCAGGATGGTGCAAAGATCCCCAGCAGGTGCAAGCTCCTGTGTAAAGCCATAATGTGTGGATGTCTCAAAAGCACTGCTGGTGGTTCGGAGCAGGGCATGGTGCGAGGAGAGGCAAAGAGCGATGCAGTATTCCCGCAGGAACTCCCGCCTCCCGGTTCGTTCCTTAGGCATCAGCTTCAGTGCCATTGGAGTCCCTGTAAGGAACGAGGAAGCATGTCAGTGGAGGAGAAAGTACCTGTGCCTTTTTCAGAAACTTAATGCAGAGGAAATTTAACAGGTAAAGTTTTTCATGCTGCTGATTTCTGTTCTTGTAAGAAAAGCTTTATCCATAAACTGTTTCACACAGTTAAGGACATAGTGGCAGAGCCAGTAAAATACAGGTGGCAACCCTTTTTGGGAGAGTGACTGATGCCATGTTTGCTTGGCAGACAGATATTGGCCTGTTTGTTCAGGGTTTTACCATAGAGGGCTTGTTCCATTCCAAGTAATCTATCATTCATTGATTATTGTATCTTGTTTATTATTCCTTCCTTCCTTCTGTCATTTCAAGCTTTCATAGATGGTCACAATAGCCACTTTTTGATGGCTTACAGCAATTGAAAGACTAGAAAACAAAACATTAAATCCATAAAGATTATCGGCAAATTCAATAAATAAAGGCATAAATTCCAGCTGCAAGGACACCAACTGTTCCCCATTCTGCACATGTGAAATGAGGCTGAAAAAGGCACAGCACAACTGAAGGAAGGCATTACAGGGCATCCACAGTGCAGGAAACAGAGTCAGGACTGGCTGGGATTGTGTCCCCTGCAGAGATGCTGCGTGAGGCAGACATGTTGATCAAGAAGAACAAGTGCCTGTCATTTCCCTTGCTTGCCTACACATGGGCATACTTTATTCTTGCCAGAAGGTTCTGGATTGGAAATTATTTTTTTCATGTTGGACACATTGAATAAATGCTCTAGTATTTATTGAGCATTTATTGACTTCTCCCACAGCCATCTTACAGTATAGTTGGGGGAAGTAGAAACAAACAGTTATTTCCGGCCCACATGTGTTTTGGTCACCTAGTGACTGGCATCTGAGCTCTTAGGAGCTGGTCATCTCTGGATGGAAGGAACAGACTTCCCAGACAGAAGGTATCTGAGGCAACTCAAACTCTTAACAAGTTACTCATTTTTAGAAATTTATCAATTCCTCCATTATCAGTATACCAGTGTCTCCCCAGCAGGGGGCAATGTGAAGCTACCCCACAATAATAAGGAAGACTTGGGTAACAAGTTCCCAGAAAAGAGATCTGTCCCGATCCTGATTTTGGGATTTAGTTCGTATCTGTTGTGCTGCCTGATATTCACTTAAACATTTGTGTAGGCAAGATTGCCGCCTTCCTTATTTCTTGTCCCTACAGCTGTGAGGTTGGCCAGTTTGCTGCTCTGCACAAGGCCTGGCCAACACAACACCTGCTTGCTGGCAGCTGCCCACATGCCTGGGATGACACAGCTAATTAATTACAGGCCTTGTGAGCTGGATGAGGGCAGGGAGCCACTTGGGCTGAGCCAGAGCTGATCTAGCCAGGGCTCAAGTTAAATCAGGATGTATCTTTGGGAGTGGATTTGAGGAGTAGGGTAGGTGCTCTCCAAAGCTAAGGTGAGCACCCTCTTGGACAGAAGGGCATTGTCTAATTATCTGGCATGCCTCCTATTTTCCCACAGGAACCACTGCAGAGCCCTTGATCTAAGTGTCCCCAAATGACAGTGATGCAGTGATGACTTTAAATATATGGACACCTTATGCAAAGAAATTATTTCCCCTTTCTCCTGCATAATTTAGAAGTAGCCACCTTCTGATACCAAGTTTCCCATCCTTAGATTCTTAAGAAGAAAGACTGAGATAAAGGGTGACTCCACATCTGTTTTCCACTCTTATCTGCCAAACCAGTAGGAAGATAAGTGAGCTTGAAGCCAAAGAACACTTCAGTTTTACCAGGACTAAGAGAGTTGGGCCCAGTTCACATGACAAGGCAGGCTCAGTGAGGATTATTTAACAAATAATGAGCTGTGCTATGTGATATTTTGAGTGCATGATTTGGGCAATGCCATCCTGTGTGAACTGGACCACCGCATTTACAGATTAAAGAACCCTTGCATGACCCTACTACAAACCCTCAGATAGGCCATGGTGGCTGGATCTTCATGACACAACAATCCCCTACAATTGCTCTGATCAGGGATTGCATATTCAAAACATCACCTGGCATGCATCATACTCCATCATATGATGACAAACCCCAATGACAAGTATGCTGTGCAGAGCAGTCTGAGCCAAGACCTGCAGTCCAGTATTGCTTTGAGGCCCTTTGTGCTTTTTATGATTGATGTAATTGGTTGATTCCTGATGCCCACCCTGGGATTCTTGTAACCAACCCTACCAGCTAGAGAACAATTCACTGGGCAAGCGGTTAGCTCAGCCTAATCTACAGCACAGAGTTGTTGTGTTGAACAAGTTAAGCCTTGTAAAGCAAATGCATACATAGAAATTTGCTATATGGAAAAAATGAGTTATTCCAGCTTAACTATCAGAGATTCCTCAAATAATCTTGAGCTTCATGCTGATACTGAATTGTCTATAGAAGACTAGAAGGCAATTTCCTCACCATTCATAGAAGTTATTGAGGAATGGGGACCTCCTGTTCAAGCATCATTGGTAGCAGGAATGAATCTCTGGTCAAGGTGGTGAGATGATTCAAGCAAGCCCAGAACAAGTGTGGCTTCATCCCTGCTCCAAACTGAATCCAAGGAGACTTTGACACTGCAGAGGATGCCAGTGCTGCAGTTTCACACATCTGCCCAATAATTTATCAGAGGAAAGTGGCACAAAAGGTAGGAGAACACAGAGGAAGCATCACTGCTCAGGCGTTCTTTAGGTTGTTCAAAGGTAGAGGTGAAAGGCCACCAGGTTCCTGTAAGAGTTGCACAGAACTGCAAATTTGGGTTGGTGATGCTTGGTGTGCAAGCAGGAGTGAAAGAACATCTATTGAAAGGGTCTTTCTCTTTACAACTCTTACAAATAAAGCCTCCACTTGCCCCTGTCCATCCTGCTGCTCAGTCAGCAAGAGAGAGGGCAGACCTGGCTATCAATTGTTCCAAGGCCAATGAGATGGAGGAGAGAAGGGTGAATGTAAAAGCCATGCCTCCTGTGGGCTAGTCTAGAAAGGCTCTTGTATGCTCACCTTTTTCACGTTGCTGAACATGGAGAACGTGTCCATAGGAGCCACTGCCCAGCTCCTTGGTTATACTGTATTTGTCCTCCACCTCCAGCTGGAGTAGGTTGTGGGAGGTGATGGACATGAGCTGCTCCAGGAACTCCTCATTATCCTCAGCATCTTCAAGGTTCCCAGCTGAACTGGTGCCCTGCTCACCTGTACAGCCTGAGGGGCGGCAGGGTGGGGAGGATAACAAATGAAACTTGTTAAACTTATTGTAACTTATTTGCATGGAATCTGTGTCTATCTTATTCCAAAAAGTTTTGTTTAGGCTCAGAATCAAACTTTAAACCAGAATTGCTTTAGTTTTGCTTAATCACAGAGTAGTTTAGTTTTAATTTTAGTTAAACTTTAACCCCCTTAAAGGTAAGAATGCTGAAAAGGATAAAATAATAACTGAAATCATTCTTTCTACATTAAAGAAAGGCAAAAAATGACAACTGGAAAAAGCATAAAAACACGTTTGATTTAGCAAACCTCTGGTTACTTCAAATATTACAATATCTAACTCCTGCTGTGTGTGTACTGGCCTTAGTTTATCAAACAATGGGGACTGAATGTGGATACTCTGAAGGGAGAAGGAATCATTCCAAGGATACTGGGCCAGACTGCATTTTACTCCTGAAATCTAAGCCCTTCTCTCCCTGTCTGTACATCTCTTTATACAGATGTCCTTGAATGCAGACACATTGTCTTGAGATGATACGTAAATCAGCAGTTACACACTTGTGCTTTTTCTTTGTTCTGGGGCCTGAGCCCCAGGCCTGAGCCCCAGAACCTTTCAGGGCTAGCACAGCCCCTGACGTCAAGTGCCAAAATAACTTGACCAGCCATGAGTACTATGTGACTCAAGCAGGGCACCATTTGCTCCTCCTAAAGTAGCAACTTGTCTATGGGCCAGCCTTGAGCCTGCAGGGCAAAATTTCTCCTACATGTACAAGCATCTTGGAGACTTCATATGAGTATGAGACCTTTTGCACTCTCATAGGCAAGTATGCAAGCTAGTTCAGCCTCAGGCCATGCTTATTTTAGCATCTCTTTGGGAAGGCAGCTGACGCCCCAGTGTGACCAGTGCAGTTTCTTAGCTGAATGGTCAGGGAGAAGATGTGGTTCCTCCTTCTTTTTCTTCTCTTGGTAGCCATCACCTCCAGTGGGATGGGGTGAGAACAGTTGTTGCTCCAGCAGCAGCTGGTCTATAGCAACAGAAGCAGAATAAGGCTTCTTTTCCCCTCAGTTTGGCTGGGTGAATTAGGAGTGTATTGCTGCAGCAACAGTGGATTGCTTCGCTTCGCTTCTTCTGCAAGAAGGGGGTGGCCATAGCTCATTAGCAGTGTACACTTTGTAGGCAGAAGTTCCCAGGTTCAATCTGCAGCCTCTCCAGGTAGGGCAGGGAAAATTCAAGCCTGAACCCCAGGAGCTGTTGCCGGCCAGAGTCAGCAATACAGGTCTAGATGGTCCAATGATCTGTCTCAGTATCAGGCAGCTTCCAATGTACCTGCACGTATTTAACTACTTTAGTTTATCTAGTGAGAGGCAGAAGATACACCAGAGGTAAGAAACTTGATGAACATGGCAGTGTGTTCCTCTAAGACGTTTACTTGAGGAGAAACTCCAACGTTCTGAGAGAAAGAAGTGATGCAGAAGCTAGTACATCTGAGGTCGTTATTTCTTCCTCTTCTGCCCCCCTGACCCACTTCATATAGGCTCAATTAAAAAACTGAAGATTTTGAGAAAGATACAAGTATGGTGACCCCACATTCACAGACTGGCAGGCAACACTGAGAAGTTTTCACACACAATCCAACAAGTGTATATTTTCGTACAGTTCCCATGGGTGGTGGCTGCTCCCTGACTCTCAGGGTATTAAAAGCTGGCAGGCAGGTGGATGCCTCAGATCTGTGTGAAGGGGGATTGGAAGGAATGGGTAAATCACCTGCAGGGGGAAGGAATTAGCCTAGCAGCAAGCTGGTCACTGGGAACTGAAACTCAGCCAGCACAGTGGCATCCTTCCACCATCCCGCACACGGCGGGGGGGCATTCCCGACATGCCGCCTGCATGTGTGCTAGCAAATGACTCTGCAGATTCAGATCCCAAACAGACCTTCAGAGTGAGAAAAATGAGTGCTAAGGAAAAGCAGACTGGGGTGCATTGAAGAACACAGAGCAATTTCATCACAGATTATCAGCATGCAAAAAGAAGTAATGTTTTCTTTGGTCATTCTGTTCTGCACAGCCATAAGCTTGAGCAGTGCTTTACCACAGTGTTCCCATGAATACATTTGTATTCTACTTATTTTTAGACTAAAAGGAGCATGTGAAAACAATCTACTTCAAATTTGCTTGCTGGTGGAAAGGGGATATTTATATTCCCCTACTTAATTATATTGTGTAAATATAAATATTGCTTGGCTTAGGGCTGTTGGAGAAACAGGGTATGAGATGTATCAAGCATGTTAACATTTCAGACCTTTAACAAGGTCCACAGTTCTTAAGATTAGTGGGAAGTGTTAAAGGACCTTCAGCGTCTGCTTTAACTATTGAACCTTTGCATTTTGAAATTGCTAGTTTGAATTTTGAAACTTGTACACTATTTCAGTTCGGCTTTAGAGTTTTTGAGATACGTTTACATTTCTGTGCACTCCGCACTTCCCAGAAGCAGTGGAACGTTTCAGGGATGGCATTTACCTAGTTTCGGCTTCCTTTGGAAAGAGTTCATTGCAGGCTCAGTGGTGTCTTGTGATGTTTGGTTTATTTACACACAGGAATAACATACAACTGAAAGCGCATAGTGTAGCACTTTGTAAAGCAGCTAATTTACCACCCTGCACAGTAAGGACATTTTAGCCTTCCCATCTTCTTTCTTTACCTCTCATGTTCAAATTGCATTTTAATCTGCCTCGTTTTCCACACTTTGCTTCTGTTGCTCTCCACATACAGTTGTAGCTTAGCCCACATCCTTAGCTGGGCTATGTGGGAAAGGTGTATCAGCTTCTCCAAATTCTGGTGCCTTTTTTGTGTTAAGAATCCTTCTGAGAGCTTTGCAGTGCTCCAATCCTAAGAAGCCATAAACCTTAACAGCCTTCATGAGTCTTTTGCCTGACCCTGGATATGTTCAGGCTAAAGTCCTTAAACTTATCTGACTTCCAGAACAGGCACAAACCTTATCTTTGTGACATTTATGCGTGTGTTATGAAACATTCGAGTGCTTCCTCTTTCTTACATTCATCTGGGCTCATCATCTTTCAAATTTAGAAAAAAAACATCTTTGTGTGCCCATCTATATAGTCCATATCTCTTATGCAGAGAAACTTTTCAGGGCTTTTTTTAGTTCTGAGCACACATGGCTGCTTATTTTGTAAAGTTTTATAAGCATTTCCTTTCCAAAGGCCTTTGCACCAGGCAGGGATTAGACCAATGCAGAAATAAAATCCATAATACTCTCCGGAGCTGATGTAGCCCGAACAGTCTAATCTATTGTCCCTGGTCATTTCCATATGGTTCTCACTGAAATCTCACAATTTCAATGCAGCTTCAGTGATTTCTATTTAACCAATAAAAAAGACCTGTAACCAAACCCCAAACCATTTAGCATCAGATGTAAAAGCTAAATATGTACAGGTCCTTGTAAGTGAAGAAGCTTTCAGCTACTTATACTGAAGACCTTCTTTGAAGGAATCCAAAGATGCTTGGATGCTCGTGAGCATCCAATGGCAGGAGCAAGATCTCTGCCACTTCACCTTGCACCCTGCATTTAATCGAGATGACCATTTTTGGTGAACTAGCCAAAGTGCCAGCAAGGAGAAGCAGGGAGACTAGGGAGTTGATCACATTTGGTGTAGGTAAGTGACCCCAACTTTCTTCTCTCCCTGCCATTCAGCACGCCTCTCCTCCTGGACCCAAAGAGCATTTCTGCTCTGGGGAGACAGCAAGGAAGCTGAGCACTGGGGTTAAAGGAGTGTGGTGCTGGGGCTCCAATCATCCCTTTTCCTCCCCTCAAATTATTCTGGGAGGTCATAGGAGGATGACCTTATTTGTATAAACTGTTTATACAAACTAATTGGTGTTAGTTCCCCCTTACACAATTTCAGGACCCTGTTTTGCTCACTGTTATTGTAGCATGTTTTGCATGTGTCCTCTCCAGAAATGTATTATATTGTGTTGTATTTTTAAAATTTATTTTAATTTAATTTTATAATTTTATTTTATTTTATACATTTATATTTCACCTTTCTTTTAAAAAGCTCATGGTGTCTAACAGAAATAAGAAAACAAATGCAATAAAACAAGAATGCTAACAACAGGAGAAGACACACACAAAGTATAATTGGGGGCTAGAGCTCATGGGAAGATCCATCCTGAACCAGGAATAGCCCTGGATCGGCAGTGCTCTCAAAGCAAGGTGGATGGAGTTTGGAACATTACCATTGGGGAGAAGGAAGGTGCCTACCACCTCTTATAAAATGCATCAAACAAATCCAGAAATAACGTGGCACTTTAAGGTTCTTCAAATTAGATGCTGTCATCTCACAAAATTACGTGTGAGCCTGTGATATGTGACACATGTGATAAATAAATAAATTTAAATGACTTAACTGGGGCAAGCCAGCTTTCCAGGAGTAGGGGGGTAGATGTACACACTGGTCCCACTGTGGCTACAGGCTTGCTAGCCAGAGTCTGCTCACCCTCTTAGCAAAATAGTTATAGGGGCATGAAATGAATTCCCAAAGGAGCAACATTATCCTCCTTTGCAATAAATCGTGGATGGGTTCAAGTTTGCCAGGAAACTATAAATGGAAGCTCACTCCTCTAATTTAGAGATGCTCCCCCAAAGCTCAAAGGTACATAAGCAGCAGGCCTAGTCTGGGGCTGGTTCTCCTGATACTCACCATTGTGATAGTCATGAGATAGCGACAGGGGACAGAAGCATCTTTTAACAGAAAGAGGGGAGGCTCCTCAAACTGTGGGTCAAGATCTTCTTCCTAGCTCTTTTGTGCATTAGTCACTCTGGAGGGCAAGCATGGGAGGCAGCGATGAGTCAGTTTGCAAATTCGGCACTGTAAAACTCATTGGCAAGGACAGACATCGCACAGGGATTTGCTGCTAACTCAACAACAGCCAAGAAGCTGTATATGGCACAGAAAACCCTCCCTGAAGTCCCACCTGAC